TGGTAGTTCATTTTTGGCTCAAGCTAAAAGAGCAGCTGATGAAACAGCTGGAACTCGCCTTTTTGAGAGTTGGTGGAAATTACAAACCCTAGGAAAGAGAACACTACTCAAATGGCGAGTGTTCCATAGAGATGATCCTTTTCTAACCTTTTCCTTGTCCTAAGTTCTGGACTGAATCCATTGGGCGAATGCCTTCTGTGAGATTCTGTCAGATTTTTTCCACGTGAATGGTGAAAATAGGAGTTAAAATATAAAATTTGTCTGTATATACAACCTGGTCAGGAATATTTATATTTTATTAATCTGGGAATAAACCACTTTCTAAGCCAAAAAAAATTTTATCATCAAGTCCTTTGAAAAGAAATCAAACTAATCTCAACAAAAGTTACAAACAAATATTTAAATAAACCAGTGAAAAAGTTAATGATGCATAAGCTTTTAAATATGTTTGTCTTAGAATTATTATTTGAGTGAATGAGCACTACAATCAGAACACCTGGGTTGGATTTGTGGAAAACCAGCATTGTCAAATGAACAGAGATACATTTTAAAGAAGTTTTTACTTAAATCTTTTCCAGTTTGTGGCGATTATTGTAGACTTGGGACTTGTCCATCTATTTATTGTTATTTATGATGATTATTATTTCAGCTAGAGTCAGAGAATAGGGCCCATAGTTGAAGTAGAGCCTGAGCTAAACCCCTCATTCTGAGGCAGAAATGGAAACAAATCCTTTTGAGACTGTAGCCTTCTGCAGTGCATCTCCTCCACTGTAGGTGAGGAAGTGCACTCTGGAAATACAGAGCATTGGAGGTCTCTGGCAAAGAGCATGGTACGTATCACGCTGTGCAGACTTAGACGGACCCCAGACTTGTCAGCATAGGAACCTGAGATTTCTATAGAGCTCTTCATGTTATCAAACTGCAAAATGTCTTCTTGCTGGAGGCCTGAACATTTAAGCCGTTTTCCACTGTGAACTATATCTCTTTGGAGCATCAAACTAATACGTTATATTGCATTAGCTATCATTGTGTCTCCCTTACAGAGAACCCCCTAAAAATTGGTGTGTATTGACGGTCAGGGCTAAATTAGGAAATCTGAATAGTGATTTCTGTGTTTTGTGTCCCTGAAGGCAGTAGGCCCTGGCTCCTTACTCTTTACTTCAGACATAGTGCTGATGGTTAACATCATGCCTGGCATGTTAGGGAAGGAGATGCTGCTCTTTCTTGCTAGTAACCCCCATGTCTCTGGCAAATAGTCATCTAAAATGGAATACTTGTTATGATCAGTTAGGCCAGGGTTTTTCAGCCTTAGCACTATTCACGTTTTGGACCGGATAATTCTTTGTTACTGACAGAGGGGGCATGGGAAGGAGGTTGTCTTGTGTATTGTAGGATATTCAGCAATATCCATGGTTTCTACCCACTAGGTACCAGTAACAACTCTCCCCAGGTGTGGCAGCCAAAAATTGTCAAATGTCTGAGAACCGCTATTAACCTAATTAGTTACATAACTACATGCTTGGGGAAGATGCTTGCTGGTGAATGATTAGGTTCCAGTTTATGTCCGAAAGCATGACAGCTGCCTAACTTGACTGAAGGAAAGGAGTTGGAATGACAATGATGATACTCTTCATGACTTCTTTTATCCCGCAGAGGACCATTCTAGCAGCACCTGATTGGAGATGCTGTTGCTTGTCCAAGGATCCCAGTGACTTTGGTTACTACTTCCTCTACCATCAGCAGGGCATAGCATGTCCACATGGCTTTATCTCTGTCCTAGAGGTCCAGTATATCAGATAGTCATAATAAGCACATTGATTATTTGAAGAAACAATTTTTAAAAGGCTAGAGTTTGTACATAAGATGGAGATCTTCAGTTTTTTGTTTTATTTTACTCTTAAATATCTACTATTTAAGAAAAAGTGACTCTGTGTGTTGAGGTTCTGTTACAATTCAAAGATTAATCATCTGTAATTCTCTTCATAGGCCCACCTCATAACTGGATGAAAGATTTTATCCTCACAGTTTCTATAGTAATTGGTGTTGGAGGGTGCTGGTTTGCTTATACGCAGAATAAGACATCAAAAGAACATGTCGCAAAAATGATGAAAGACTTAGAGAGTCTACAAACTGCGGAGCAAAGTCTAATGGACTTACAAGAAAGGTAAGTCAAAGAAAATCATAACTTACTTATGTAGGAAAATGCACTTTGTAAAAATACAATATGGGCATGTGCTTAAACAGTTATTTAGGTTATTACACACATTAGGAATGTATGCATATTTCATATTTTTAGAAAAATATCATAATGTCATAATTTATTATAAATGTATGTACTTG